GCCGCGAGAGTGCAGCAGTTAGCTTGCAGCTGTACCAATTTCGCTTCACATCTATACAATTACGACGCGATATGGCAGCACGCTCGGCCGCCTGCAGCGTGCGGGGCTGGTTCAGAGCAGCATTCCAGAGCACCGCGGGGGTCTCGTTCAGGGTGACGCAGAGGCAAGGATCAAGCTCTACCGGTAGAAGCAGCTTGACAGGCCTCCTGGGGCGCAGCGAGGCCGGGGCGTCAAGATCAATGTCTGCCCTGGCTAGATCTAGGTGCGCACGGTCTGTAGTTAGCAGGAGCGACTGCATATGTGTCAAATGACACCGAATAGCTCACCCTTGGCCATCACTCCCCCCTTGCAGACGCCATGCGCTGCCGCCGCTCGCCGGCCGCACGCCGGCGATGCTTGCGCGTGTGTTTGCTGCCAGCCACCACCTCCTCGGCATGTGGAGCATGGGTGAGTCACATCATCCACAGCACGACCTTCTTGAGCACGTATTATGTGCGGATTGGAGTGGAGCATGCAGACCAATGGCGGTTGCCAGCAAGATCGCCGCGATGCGACGCCCTTAGCATGCAGCTGGGTACGGTGGTAATTGTGCTGCTTGACCATTGTACATTGCTGCTTGTTGTTGCATCGTGCCAACGGCGCTCGTGCCTACCACACTGCAAATGACCGACCACCAAGGAAACACAACAGCGCGTAGCGGTCTCATCTGCGCGAACCCCTTGTTTTGTTTGCAGATGATGATGGAACGTAAGCGTGGACAGGCGGCTTCGTTATCTGGTGTGCGCTCATGTGTCCAGGTGGCAAGCCCAAGGTCGCCATGTTGCTGCCTGCTGGCGTTGCGCAGCAGCCTTCACCATGCAGTGGTGTGCAATTTTTGATGTGGCAAAAGCGGTGAAAATTTCTCACATGTCTGATGTCCAACCTGTTTGTTTCATCCAGGCTGAAACACGCCTGTAAATGGGGGTATAGCGCCTCATGACTCACAGTCTGGTGATGCATTTCTTGACCACATTGACCGCATTGACCACATTGACGTCAGCTTTGCCCCCCTCGTGTACAAGTTTATGCAATCTCTGTAAAGCAAGCTGGATGAGTTTGTTTGGATGAGTCTCCTACAACTTCCTGGTCCGTGAGACGATGAGGCTTATCCCTGCCAAACAAGCACCTGCCTCAGTCAAGGTTGATGCAAGCTCCAGCATGTTGGCCAGGGCTGTTTGACTCCATCGACATGACTGAGACGCTGTTCGTTATACTTCGAAGTTGGATGTTGGTTGCTGGGGGCCGGCATACCGCAGAGTTGCTGCTCAGAGCACGAGTGTGCTCTGCAGGTCCGTACGCGTACCGTAGCGTGCGTGCCGTCCAGTTGATGCTGCCTTTGCTAGCTGCGATGGTGCCAATGTTTGCTGGCAGCTGTGCACACTCCGTTTCCTTTACAACAGAAGATCACGACGCGATATGGCAGCACGCCAGGCCGCCCGCAGCGCGCGGGGCTGGTTCAGAGCAGCGTTCGAGACCACCGGAGGGCTTTCGTTGAGGGCGACGGAGAGACAGGGATCAAGCTCCACCGGTAGAAGCAGCTTGACAGGCCTCCTGGGGCGCAGCGAGGCCGGGGCGTCAAGATCAATGTCTGCCCTGGCTAGAGCTAGGTGCGTACGGTCTGTAGTTAGCAGGAGCGACTGCACATGTGTCAAATGAGACCGAATAGCTCACCCTTGGCCATCACTCCCCCCTTGCAGGCGCCATGCGCTGCCGCCGCTCGCCGGCCGCACGCCGGCGATGCTTGCGCGTATGTTTGCTGCCAGCCACCACCTCCTCGGCATGTGGAGCATGGGTGAGTGTCAGATGTCACGGCAAGGTCAAATTGGCCTCATTCACTGCTTACGCCGGGGCTCAGCATGCACTGGCAGAGCAAATTGTGAATGGGGACGCGGTGTGGCGGCCGCCTCAAGACTCAGTCGCGCCGGACGCTCTGGCGTGCACGCACAGGGACGTGTCGATATTCCACTGTGCGCCTCATGCAATGCCCGTGTGCTGCCGTTGCCCACTCCCGCGTCCTGCAGACGATGACGGCACCTGACGCGCCATACCCTGCCCGCAGACGACAGCGAAGACAGATAACGACATCAACCATGCGTCGCACGTGCGCACCCTGTCTGCACCGCAGATGATGACGGTACATAACGACAGTGCAGGCTGCATGGCATATGGTGGGGTCACCAACGCCTGTGCTTGCTTTTGTGGTCGCACCTCAACACCCGTGGTGTGAAGAGCGCACTTCACGCAGTGGCGGGCATTCTGCCCTCTGTATGTTTGTTGTTGCACACACTCTAATCCAATCGGGCTGCAACGCCCGGGCCTGGGGCATGAACGACCCCGGCTTGACATGACCTAACTTGTTCACGTGACGCGTTTTCCTTACTTTGCCTTTGTTGGCTGCGCTTCTTGAACCTCAGTGGCCTACCTGTGACTCTTCAAAGGACAGGCACGCAGACAGCCTTTACAACGTACACATACGCACAAATGCATCACTGCAGAAAGGGGCGATCAAACAGAGGGCGGCTGGTGGTATGCAGGCAGTCAGCTCGGGCGGCGCGGGACGGCGTCAGCATATGGATTGGGGCCACAACGCCGTGCTCTCACCCCTCAAACTACAAGTAGACTAGGCAGCCGGGGATTCCCCACCAAACTTCTCAGCCGCGCGCGTCGCAAGGGCAAGCAGGTCATAAAACGTGCCCACTGCCGCGCGCAGTAGGCGCAACTCAGTAGCCGCAAAGGATCTGCACGGTGCAGGACAAGGGAGGTGGCATGGGGCCAACAGGAGCGGGATGTTGAGGGCGCTGCAGACAGGCAGGTGTCGACTGCACGCAGTAAGAGAGATGTTGAAAAGTGCGCGGCGGGCCGTCCTGCAGACAAGATGGCGGCTGCTGAGTTACCACCGGAGGGGATGGCCATCCATGCTTACATGTGCAGGGAAGAGCCCACCACGTTCAGATTCCTGGTGACCTGGCCTGGACTCAGCTGGGAATGTGCAAGGTGCGAAAGGTCGCCTGCAGTCGGTGAAGGGCTGTGTGCACTCAATGCCCCAGCTACTGTGGGCTCACCACCCTCAATGGAGGCCCCCAGCCATTGACTGCCTGGTGCCGCCTGCCCAGATGCCCGCCAACCGCCTTGGTTGCTGCCGCCTATGCAGCTAGCATGCGCACCTCAGGGTCGACGTCCAGCGCGCTGCAAACCGCACTTGCCCGTTCTAAGCTACCCAGGTCCACACTTCCCTCGCTGCAATCAGCGCAACGAGGGGTAGGCAGCAGCGGAGGATTCAGGCGGCGGCATCGACACGCCATGGCCCACAAGTCAGCTGCGAGCAGCTGAAGCCCCCGTTGCATAAAAGCCAGCATGAGCCCGTGCCGTTGCATTTGAAGCAGCCACATGCACACTCACAAAGTGTAACACAAGTCATTGGTGCGCTGCCCCTCCCCGGGCACGTCGCCTCTGGTTGCAGGCGTGGCCGCCGCCGCCTTGGCCGCCGCCACATCTGCAGATGGTAATAATGCGCCCGTGCCATAAGCTTGTTCAGGCATTGCATAATCGAAGATCAAGCAGAAGGGTGCTCCCACTGTGCAGCACAAACCTGGCGCGGCTACCGTGGCCATCCCCAGGTGGCGCTGCGGCAGCAGGAGCAGGAGCAGCAGCAGCAGCAGCTACTGCTGCTGCTACTCTACACCTCTGGTGCTCGCCAGCTACGGCTCGCACAAGCTCAATATTTTCTATGTACCGGTCACTTCGTGACTTTCTGTGAACTCTTTTGCTTCGTCCCTGGAATCCAGCAAAAATACTTTCTTTCTCAGGGCAAGACGACAAGACGACTTCACGCGAGGCTGACACACCAGATGCGAGTTGTTTCGGCCGAGAACATTCTTGCACGCTCTCCTCCCGGTTGCGCTGATCTGGACTGAGTGACTCAACATGGATTGCTCTGGTGGTGCAAGCTGCATCAGCTACAACGTGGCCAGGTGGAAAAAGGGGACAAAATCGTGATAGCATCTTTTTAGTCAAGGGTGGTTGGCACACAAGCTTCTCGTGGTTGCACGTCTCGCCATTGCGGCAGACGTGTGCAGGGACCACCAAACATCCGCCCTGACCCGACAGCCCGAGCCGCTCCCCGTTGCCATGTGCCCTTCTCAGCACTGGAAATGCTTGAAGTTTAATGAATTAAGAGTTGAATTTGCCTTTTGTATGCACACGGTGCACCTGCTCCAATGCGACCCTTCCAATTTGATCAATCTTCCTCGCCTGAAATAATTCTGTAGATGCTTGATCAATTGATACAATTCGCTCGGCAATCATGGTTTTGGTATGCCAACTCAATCGTCGCCAATGCCTGGCTGCATGTGCACAGGTGCCTTAACGCCCAACCCAGGTTGCACCGGGTGCCACGCACCCAGGTGCATGGCCGGCACTCTGGCCTGAATTGGCCAGCTGCACCTTAGTAGCGGCAGTCGCGCGCACCCAGGCCATCAACCAGCAGATAAGTAGACCTTGTTGGAACCCGCCGCCGCTGCAAACGCCCTGGGTAACACAAAGCAAAGAGAACACACCTTTCTTGTCACCAGCAAGCCGGGCGTGAATGATCCATGCACAACAGTGCCAGCGGCTGCGGTTGGCTGCTGATGCGGAGTAAACTATACGGCGCTACATAATACAGGTGCTACTGTCAAGGGGAGGTGAGAAGGGCTCGCGGCAGCTCAGTCGGCCTGGCGCAATGTGCGAGTGCCTCGAGCTCCAAACGAACACTCACACCCCACATTCCAAACATCCCGACTGGCTGCACAGACGCATTACTCCCTTCTTACCACAGGTCAACCCGACTCCACACCGCTGAAGGGGCCTCGCTGGCAGTCTCACCGTATGGCCGGTGCCATCCTGGAGGCGTAGATAGAGTCGTTGATAGCTCACCGTAGCTCTGGGCCCTGCGGTCGCGCCAGATCGCAAAGCGGGACGTGATGGCCAGCAAGAGAGCGGCCAGCCCAGCGGTTGTGCCGGGACAACCAGCTGCGAAGCTCCAACGGCTCACCCCCGGACCTCAGGTGGGCTGGCCATAGCTGTGGCAACGCAACCGTCTATCGAGGGTGGTGTGGGCTACGGGCGATCTCAGCTGCCCGTCCATGGTGCAAAGCAAATTTTCGGAAGGCTGACTGATATGCTGAACAATACACGAGGCCCCTGGGCAGACCCGGGCGCTGTGACACCCTCGCCTCGCCTGCCTGACGCGGTCACCGCGTGCCCTCTGCGTCAGCATTGTTCGAACGCCGCCGCATTGCCTGGCACCCCGTGCTGCAGGGGGCGCCGGCATCGGTGAAGCTCCTGTCGCAGAGAGGTGCGCGCGAGCAGCGGGAACAGGACGTTGGTTGCAGCTGGACGGCGGACAGCAGCGGCTGCTGGGCCTGCTGCATGCGGCTGGTGCAGGCTGCAGCTGCGAGGGGCCGCGGACTGCGGTGGGAGGTTGCCTTATGCCTAGGAGCTACAACTCGCCTGCAGCTCATGCCAGAGTCGGCCACGTTGCAGCCACCGCAGCATGCAGCAAGCGCTCGCACAACAAAGGCCCGTCAACAGCCGTGCTGGCCGGGTGCCGCACCGTGCTGTCTCGCAGAAAAGCTGCCCACTGTGCAGTACCGGAATGGGCGGCCGCTGCGGGACCTGCTGGCACACTTCAATGCTGGACGCACGCGGGTCGAGGTGCGTACGGACAGGGGCCAGGGGCAGGGGTTCATGCAGCAGCTGCGTATTACCAGCAGCCAGCGGCCAGCTCGTGCGGCGCGCAGTTTGGGCGCGCAGACGGGATGCCACCCTCCTCCGGCTGAAGAATTACAAGCAGTGCGGCTGGGCAGGAGCTCAAACCTGCACCTTTTGAGCACAACCTGCGCAACGCTGGAAGAGGGCACGCCCTGCCAGCCGCGCACCAATGTGTCGACAGGGCTGGCCGCTATGACCGAGCTGCCATGCGTGCATGCACACCGTAGTTGGCTTGGCACACCTCCGCTTTACCCCACACCTGCTCACACGCCCGCCTTCTTGGGCGCGCACGCGCACACGTAACACACACCCGCACACGCACACGCACACGCACACGCGCACGCCCCCCGGCCCACCTCCACACACACACACACACCCCTCCACACACACACACACACACACACACACGTACACAATTACAACATACACTCACTTTCACACACACACACACACACACACACACACTTTGCCAGGTGATCATCCCAGCGGACGACTGCACGGGCCACAACAAACAGGTCAAGTCGCGGCAGCTGTGGGGTGACGGCGTCTACACTGACGACAGCGACATGGTGGCGGTGCTCATGCACATGGGCTACTACGCAGCAAACACCGCCGCAAACCCGCCGCAGGTGAGCTTGTGCAGAGCGGCTGGGGGCAGGGCGCCCATGGGGTTTGCCCTGGTGCATGATCGGGGCGCGCGGGGCGCTCGCTGCCGCTCCAAACCTGCGGGGCATGTCGCAGTTCAGCCGTTTTGATGGCATCCATGGCCCCAAACCGCACGTGCTCCTCAGGTGCAGTCGTTCCACGCGGTGGTGCAGCTGCTGCCGCCGCAGGAGCGCTATCCCAGCAGCCTGCGCAACTCGGTGCGCTCGCGCGCGTGGATGGCTAAGGTGGAGGGCTGCTCGTTCAAGGTAGGAGGCAGGGCCTGGTGGGGCAGTTGACGTCACGGACCGTTGCAGGCCGGGGATCAGGAAATGCCCAACCAGTCCATGAATGCATGTGCACGTCTGCGATTTGTGGCAGCTGCGAAGTCTGCGATCCGCGTGCAGCTTGCAGCCCTCGCCGCCAGGCCCAGCCACCCGCCCTGTTGACCATCCCGCTTCCCGCGCAACCCACCCCACCGGACC